AGAGAAAAGGTACTCGGTGATTAGCTGAAACACCTTGGAGGAGTAGACTCCTACGGGGTGCTTCGGCTAATGCTTAGTTGGGCTATAATCGACGGGTGTAGCCCGACTAGGTGCCACCTTGGAAAAGCCTCCTTGAGGGCTAACCTAGGCTACGTGGCTAGGTTGGATTGTGGAGTTCAATAAGGTGCAAGGTATGTAGTGGGGTAGAGTATGGAGTATGGAGTATAGTGAGGTGTGGGGTGTGGTGTATGATGGGATATGGACTAGGGAGTATGATAAGGTATGGGGTGTGGCGTATGATGGGATGTGGAGTATGGTGTAGGATGGGTATGAGGTGTGGTGTATGGTAGGTTATGGGATGTGTGGTTACGTTATGGGAGTGTGGTTAGGTTAGGGTTTGGATAACCCTTGGTCAAGTGTAGAGATTTAGCCAAGGTAGGTTGAAGTTGGGCAAGCTAACTAAAGGATGGTTGACCTAGGGTTGGGTTTAGGATAAGGGCAAGAACTCTTATGCACAAAAATCTTCTCTCCTCTTTCAAAGTGATAGAATTCGTTAATCAAAAAGCAAAAAGATTCCTCTTTAGTTACACGAGTGCTGGAGTTTATATAGAGCTCCCCTTTAACAAGGGTGGGATCTCAAAACCTTAGAGAATTGAGTAAAAAGAAAAAAGATAGACAATACAACAAAATTCAAGTAAATGAAAAATTAACCAAAAAGGGCATGAGCAATGTCCAAAATTGACGATTAGGTCCCTCAAAGAGGGCCCCTCCCCAACCACATGGTATGGGGAATTGTTTTCCTTACGATCGTTTTGATATATATTTTGCATGAAACCATAAGAACTTGGTGAAGTTTTTGGTAATTTTGGGTTTTATGGTTTTCATGGAGATCTTCCTTGATATTCTTCGATCAATTACTTCAAAAATGCCAGGTTTATCAGGGATTTTTTGGTGGCAAATTGAGGGAGACCTCATCACAATTACTTTGCATCAAAAAGTGTGTAGAAAGACCTCTGATCGGCCAAGTTGTGGTTTCGGCAATTTGCCGGAAACTCTAAATTCTGTTGCACCTAAACTTATGCCCACTTTCGAGCCTCGGACGGTCCTCGATCTAATCCTCGATCGTGATTTGCCTTTGGTTATTCGAAGACAATCGATTTAAGATGGAAATGCGTCAAATTTGAGCTCAATTTGATGGTTGGATGTCGAGTTATGATTGAAGAACTATGAAGAGGTTACACAAACTGATTTTTGCATGAACTTCAAAACTTGCAGACTTCTCTCTTCATGTACAAGGCCTATATCAAAAGAATGTGCTTGTCGAGAAGCGTGACATATCCAAATTTCAGCTTGAGAGATCCAAGGGCATGCGTGACATATCCAAATTTCAGCTTGAGAGATCCAAGGGCATGCGTGACATATCCAAATTTCAACTTGAGAGATCCAAGGGCATAAAGCTTGCCCAATTTTGAAGAAGTGTTGTAGGGTTTTACTATATTTGGTAACTGATATAAGCTGTAAAATCCTGAATAGTATGAAACGTCATTTTCTTGAAAAGTAGGGCTTAGGAAAGTTTGCTTGGCCTTGCGGTCTTCAGAATTCATCCGTGATGGTTCCAAGGCCATTTGAGGTCAAATTTTAGGAGTTTTACTGTATTATTTATCTTTGTCTGCCCGTACACTTGTAATGTATGGTACTCCTTTAGCTCGTCTTCCTCGTTTCTACTTGTCACACCCGATTGGACTGAAATTTGGGGAGTATAGTTGGGGTAGTAGGGCCCATCTTTGTGCTCTTTCTCAAGACCAGATGAGGTCATACAAGGCTGTTCAAAGTACGAGTTTCATTACACACGTGCTTATGTGGCTTTTTGGACGTATTTGGTGCTTGAAAGCCACAGACAATCTCCTCTGTTATTCGAATTGCGAGGGGGGGGGAGGGGGGGGAGTGCGTAAAAAATGCATACATATAACACAGTCGAAGCCTTGACCCTTCTTGAGGGACTCAAGAATTTTAACTCGGATTGAGGACAAAATGCGGTTGTTGAACGAGACTCTAGGAATATAATTTCCTGAGAAGCTGACTCTTCACAATGCCTGTGGAGGTTCCTCCACTGTTTTTACCAAATCCATCACCTCTGCAGTGACTTGAATGTCTCATGGAAACACATCTGGCAGGAAGCTAACTCCGAAGCAGATCACCTAGCCAGAGCTGGAGCTTCTTTAAACGGATCGACAGGATTCAAATAGGCGTAACCCTCATCAGCATCACTGACAGGACATACCTTTTCGTACCTGATACGTGTATACACAGTATAACATTTTTTGGGTAGCCCACATTTTTGGACAGCGGGCTGCTTTGTATTTTTTGCATTAGCTATTGCCATTTTTTGTACTTCCCTTCTCTCAATACAGAGTTACCATTTTAAAAAATAATAATAATTCATGAACAATACCAATGAATAGTACCTCCGAACAATATCCCATGAATGGTAACCAATGGACAGTGAATAAAAATATGAAGATCCTAGAATCCTGAAAAACTTAAAAACGCTAAAAATAAAGTCTAAAACTAAAATTAAAATACATATCCTTTCAAATTGAATAAAAATTAAAAAGAAGAATACTTTTGTCCCACCCTTATAATAATTGTATGAATCTATTAACTTTTGGTGAATTTAGTAGAGGCCATAGGGTGTTGTGAATCCACCACAATTTTAAATTTAAAATAGGCAATTTAAATTGAATTTCACCTTGCCCAAATCCTCTCTCAACTGCTCTCTACCCTCTCTCTCTCATACGCACTGAACCCCCAAAACTTGCTCTCTCGCTCTCTGTAAACCCCCAAAACGTGGTCTGTCATAACTTCTTGGTTTCTTCAACAAGCTCTGAAAAATGTTGAATCCCCAAAACTTGGTGTTTCCCAACTTCCTGGTCTCTGCCCTAGCGCACCCCTTTCACTCCACCATATTAAACTATTATCTCTGATTTAAGGATCAATAACCAGAGCATGGTGAACCAATTCTCGAAGCCAACTTCACTGGTCTGAGTAAATAGTTCTTCCCATATAGCAAGCCTGAAAAATTCAAATGATGGTGGCATATACCAAGCTACACCATTAGTGATTCTTCGCCATTTGGGTATTTTAAATTATTGTTGTCATGGTTACCGGTTATGCATCATTGGGACCAAAATTTAGGGGTTCACTAAGAGAGAGAGAGAGAGAGAGAGAGAGAGTGAGAGAGAGAGATTGAGATCACTATGTTCCTAGCAACCATGAAAGCCTTAGCACCATCACTGCACAAATCAACACATGCCTACTTGCCCAAATTCCCACACATTACCACCAAAACCAAAACCCTTTGTTCTCTGAAGTCTTTCCCTTTATCTGTACACTTGTGTATATCACAGGGCCCAAAAAACTTACTCAAATCGTCGATCTCATGAACCAAGGGCTCTGGATTCTCACCAGTAGCTACCACTAACCATTTCCCAATATATTTGACAAAATTCCCCAAAAGCCCATTTGATAATCCTGTCTTCACCCTCCAAAACCCACAAATTTGATCATAAGAAGCTGAGTTAGCTAGTTGGTTAAATTCAGGCTTGATTTCAAAGTTTTCGGCATATAATTACATCTAACAAGTGCATTGTTATTTTATTTGATCTAATGGAAAATTGGAACAAAAACCCATTAATGGGAGCTTACAAGAATGTTCAGGAAGTGAAGTTTTAGCCCATGGCATGTTCTGCATCGCCATAGAGAGACAATGCAATTTGATTTTTCAAGAGTAATGGAGGGGACATCATGGATTCTGAAACAAGCAGAGGTTGCAAGGCCAGAAGGGCCTGCTCCTATGATTATGGGGCCATTAATCCTCACGCACCTGTGACTGTGGCCCTGTAAATCAGTGTCTTGAGACCCATTTTAAGTTCTCTCTCTCTCTTTCCTGTCTTGTCTCTCAGTGCTTGTTTCTCTCTCCTCCATTTACTTGATCTCTTAATAAAAATCATCCATAGATTATATTCTGGTTAAGAGGATCTGTTAAGAGAGAGAGAGAGAGAGAGTTTGCTGAGGGAGAACTCAAGAGAGAACAGGGGGGCAAATATCTCACAGTTTGACAGTGTTAGAGGGCACTTTTAGTACTTTGTTCTTTCAAAAATGGGGAGAGGGTATCTTTCCGTTTATCTCAAAATTAAAAGGCGTTTATGTACACCCAAGGGTCTATGTGGGCCTGACAATCATATTCAATCTGCAAGAACTGAATGGCCGACATGTACAGTCACCACTTCATTTTCAGTAATTCTTTTTTCCAAATCCTTTTGTCTTAAAATTTTGAGAAAAGGTGTGCCTGACCTTGAAACATCCACACATATACACGTACGCACACATACACGTGCACACGCACACATACAAGGACATGCACACACACACATGTATGTATCAAACTCACAAAAAAGTTGAACAACCCAGTGCCCCCACCTCTATTGGTAAATGAACCCAGTGCCCCCACCTCTATTGGTAAATGATAGCCATCCAATGGTTCAATCTAGGCCATCGGGCTCACAACTGTTATGTAGGCCATCTACTTTTTGTTTCCTCTTATGGATGGTAGGAGATTAACTGAAAGAGGGGCATTCTCCTGAGGACAGTTAATCTCCAACCATCAGCCAGTCAAAGTGGATGGTGGGTGTAGCCTTGGAGTACAATAGACCAATATCCATTAGAGCATGGTGCACTTTCCTTCTCTCTATTTTTTCTTTTCTCATAGTTGTTTCTTTCTCATTTTCTGGGAAAGCAAAAGATGTTTTCCCCGATTCTGATAAATAATTGAAGCATTTCACTTGCCCCCACAAACCAAAACACTGAATATGACAATGTCAATGCTTACCTCTTTAATGGATATTTCATGATCTAAGACTGCTGTGAAAATGAGAAAATATTAGTTATTTCATCTACATTACTTTATTATTATGTTATGTCACTAGTGAAATTTTATACAGGCTGAAATAGAAAAGTTGAGGAAAGAACTACACAATACCCATGCCTTGTACAATCGAGCATGTGAGGATTTGGTCATTGCCAGGAAGAAGGTCAGTGAACTTGCTGCCTCAATTATTTCTAATGCAACTATTTTTTATATTTTTATTTTAATTTTAGCAAAAATTTACTAAAACCCAAGCATTATTGAATGAAATGATGGATGGGGATGCAGAGAGTGAGGGCTACCATTGGGTCATGTGTTTTTCTTGTGAGTTCCTCTCTCTTTCCATCACCTTTCATCATTTCATTGATGGTCATGACCCCAATGGACCGTGGTTTTGCATAATCATCTGAATTATGATATACTTATACCTTAATTTTTAACATCTATTCCAGTGATGTGTTCATAAGACACTGTTCATTGTTGAATGAGATTGGCAGGTGCAAGTCCTCTCTATTGGGTGCTCTGAGGAGGCAAAGAAGATTAAGCTTGCGATGGAAAGAGAAGAAGTTGCAAAAAAAGTTGCTGAAGAAGAAAGAGCTAAGCATCTTTTGGCCCTTAAGGAAGTTGAGGTGGCTAGGGAACTGCAGGAAAAAGAGGCTAAAGCAAGAGTGATGGCTGAGTTGATGGCCGTTAAGGAGTCATCTGAGAGAGAGAAAATGGAAGTGGCTCTTTTATCTAGTGACCTAAGATATAGGAGGTACTCCAGAGATGAAATAGTGGCAGCTACCGATTCCTTCTCTGAGGTTCACTTAATTGGAGAGGGAGGTTACGGGAAGGTATACAAATGCTTCCTGGACCATACACTGGTTGCCATCAAAGTCCTTCATCAAGATGCATTGGAAAAGAAGGAAGAGTTTTTGAGAGAGGTAGACGATAATTAGTGGCATTTACAATAATTGCAATCCTATAAGTAGTATATAGTGCTTTAATCCATGCTTTGCGAGAGCGGTCTAAACCATGTGGCATTTATAAAGCTACAGACGCATGGAGGACTTGTTTTGGAAAGCATAAGCAATCCAGTGGACTATGGAGAAACATAGTCCATTAGGGTCACCACTGTCCAGTGAAATGATGGATGGTGATGGAGAAAGGGACCCACCAGAACAAAGGACCTAACCCAATGGTGGTTTCTATTCTGTTCATAATGATCTACCAGTCCATTGGATATTGACAATCCCAATGGCCTGGTTTCCATTATTCATTAGTTTAGAGTATACTTTGCCTTTCTGAATAAATAAAATTGCACATTGATGAAATTTCTAAAACTTGAAAATGTGAGTGCAAAGTTTAATCGAAGTCGGCTAAATTTTAGCCAGACTAAAGGGTGTGACTCCTGCACTCAAAAATTTCTAATTAATACCAAATTAGTTATTTGGAAAGATTCAAGTTAAATGAACAAATATAGTTCATCATTATTATCATTAGAGCCTTATTCCAGCTATTTGGGATCGGCTACACGAATTTTGTTCAACCATTGTGCTCTATCAAGGGTCATATCCTCAGTGAGGCAATGAGTCTCCATATCTTTTCTCAGTACTTCTATCTAGTCCTTTTGGGCTTTTCCCTTACCTTTTTAGAGCCTTCCACTTGAATCAAAGGCTTTTCGCTGCACATGGCCCACCCACCTAAGTCTACTTTCCCTCATTTTATCACGTATTTAAGCCACACCTAAGTTCCCTTGAATGTATTTATTTCTAGTTCTATCTTTTCTTGTCTTGCTACTCATCCATCTTAACATCCTCATCTCAGCTGCACTCATCCTAATAAGATGTAGTTTCTTGACTGCCTAACATTCCCCATCCCATAAAGCAAAGCTGGTCACATAGCTGTTCTATAAAACTTCCCCGTTAGCTTCATTGGTAATTTGGCAATCACATAATATTCCAGATGTGCATTTTTACTTTGCCCACCCAGCTCTAATTCTATGTGTAACATCTTCCCCAATCTCTCCATTTTCTTGGATTATCGACCCAAGGTATCATAAATACTATGAACAGATACAAAGATCAAAATTTTAGATTGTAATCCATGACTTTTCTCTTTCCAATAATTTGCAGGTTGAAGTTCTAAGCCAGATACATCACCCACACATACTATTACTTCTTGGTGCATGTCCTGAAAGTGGATGCTTAGTGTATGAATACATGGCAAATGGTAGCCTTGAAGATCGGCTCTTTCGCAGAGGAAACACATCACCCCTCCCCTGGTATGTTCGCTTTCGAATAATCTTTGAGGTGGCTTCTGGTCTTTTGTTCTTGCACAGCTCTAAGCCAGACACAATAGTTCACCGAGACCTCAAACCTGGCAACATCTTACTAGATAATAACTATGTGAGCAAAATTGGCGATGTAGGTCTTGCTCATCTCATCTCAAATGCAGTGCCTGATAGTGTTACAGAGTATAGAGATACTATTCTTGTAGGTACATTGAGTTATATGGATCCAGAGTACCATCGCACAGGAACAATCAGGCCTAAGTCTGATGTGTATGCGTTTGGGATTATCATACTTCAGCTTTTGACTGCCATGCACCCATTTGGTCTAATAGAGCTCATAAGGGAGGCCATTGACAAACAGTGTTTCAGAGACATGCTTGATGAAGCGATAACCGATTGGCCTATGAGAGAAGCAGAGGAGCTTGCCCAGCTGGCTTTGAAGTGTGCCCAACTAAGATGCAGAGATAGGCCGGACTTGGAATTGGATATTTTACCAAAGCTTCAGAGAATCAAAGAAATGGCGGACACATATTTTAAGCTATGCCAGCATGATAATGGTGCACCAAGCCACTATCTTTGTCCAATACTTCAGGTGCAAATCCTTAATTGATGCTGTACTTCATCTTCTGCTTCTCTTCTTTCATTTTGGTTTTCATAATGATTTGAACCATGGATAAATTTTTTTTTTTTTTACCTTTTTTTTTTCTCCATTTCTGGATTAAATTTCAGCTGGAATTGCCCTAAAAGGCTATAACTTATGTATTTTACTCATTAAAAAAATGATATGTGACATATTTTCAGTGGATCTCAGCTGATACTTGGAAAAGGAGTTTAGCCCAACTCTCATATAAAAATAAGCAACATAAAATATTGCATCTTTGGGCTAAACTCCTTTTCCAATTTATATGTTTTGTATATTATCACCACACAAATGTTACTTGGAATTGGTGGGCACACACACACACGTGTGTGTAGCATCTGATACTATTTAACCAATATGTGTGTCATGGGCAAGGGCAGTAAAATGAGCGCAAAAATTTCCAAAATAAAAATCTCCATCTGACCTTTGGATGAATCACATTGTTGATATATTTTGTACAGGAAGTTATGGATAATCCATATATTGCTGCTGATGGCTTAACATATGAGTACAGAGCAATTAAGGCATGGCTCGAAAATAACAATACCTCTCCTGTGCTCCAGCTTGTGCTTCCTCACTCTCAGATCATCCCTAATTATTCACTACGCTCTGCAATTCAAGAGTGGAAGCTTAAAACTTCTATTGGTGCTTGATTGTGAAAGCCAACTTAACTCTTACTATGCAGTAATAAAGTACAGTGTGGATCAAATTTTGCAAAAAATTGCAATTCAAAAGAAAAGATTATTTCAAAGATTTATTTGCAGACTCAGTTTGCAGTTTGCTAGGATAATGTGAAATAGGGAAGAGTGGCTAGCCAACTTTGGTTATGGTTTTTACATAGTTAATTGTATGCAGTCTGTATAAATATGCGCATCTAGTGTTTGTAATGATGTTTAGTACTGGTACAGCCATACTTTTGTTCATATTTGAGGTGGCTACTTTTATATGAATCACTTGGCGCATGCCGAATTTGTGTGCAGTAATTCTATATTTGTAGTCTTCTTTAGTGAGTGATCATAGGTATTTTTGTCATTTAGGTTTTTTAGTATTCTTGTCATTTGGAAGCATGGCAAATGCGTGCGGTATGTGTATATATGTAACATCGAGTAGTGTCGTGTGGGGATTTTTGTCATTTGGGTTGTGTTTTATATTTTGATCATCTTGTGCAAGCCAAACATGATCTGTAGTGTGATATTAGGAGGTTGAATCAATGATTTTTTTATTTCATGAACTTATCTCAAACTAACATGCCTCGGTCCATGAGACCAGCATGGTGATCACATAAACCATCTTTCATACGGTTGGATATCAGGTGATTGTTTAATTTCGTTGAGAACTTTCAGAATTTTCAACCTAATTGTGATAATATACAAAACACCAAACCTCACATGCGTCCAAAACTTCAAATCAATGACAAGGGAGGATTTTTTAGGTTTGACTAGTCCTAGAAGACATTTCTAAACCTATTTTATAATTTCCAAAATCTGCAAATTCAGTAACATTTGAGGAGAAAGAAGGTAATATTGTTTCAATTTATTTTTAAAATCATAATCATTATCATCCAAGCTTTATTCTAATTATTTGGGATCGGTTATATGAATCATGTTCTTCCATTTTTATCTATCAAGGATCATACCTTCAGTAAAACCAATAACATAGATTCAGGATTCATGATAAGATGTGGTAAAGTTTTACATTGGTTTCCTATCTAATGCAACCCACCTCCTTTTAAAATATTTAAAAAATATGGAATATCAAAATTGATACATTAGCAATTTAACTGTGATAGTTTATACGAGAAATTGTGGTGTTTTGGTCTTGTATGTTGAAACTTATAATATAACATCAAGAAAATTATTGTTAATGGTAATGTAGACATCCAACACTTATTGCCTCCATATGGGTGTTTGAACTCATATTTGTGGACAAACTTTCGTACTTGTTAATGATTACATTGTTGAAAAGAGCTGATGCAGTAATCATAGTTTGCAAGAAATAATTTGCGTTCAGAATGTTAGATGAAAGATCTTGCTTATATTTGGCTCATCATGAGGTGTTTTGGCGGATTGAAACATGGCAAACATGTCTTTGAAATTTAACATTTTGATAATCAAGTCAACGAGGCAGCTTTTCTCTTGCAAATTGTTCTTAGATCAACATGTGTATGTGCAAGGCGAACTTCCCTGGAGAAAATATGACTTAAGGAGGTAAGATATGTATATTCTGCATGAAGTGTGGTTTTGTTTCATATTTCTTGCTACACTTTCGATCTACTAGTAAACAAGACTTCAATAAGATGCCCCCTTTAACCCAATAAACAAAAGACAATCCCTCATGTTCTGCCTAATTTGTGTTCAGAATTCTGATTAGTCTTTTTGATACTCGTCTCTGGTTAAAGCGTCTAGTTTGGTCATGACAAAATGTAGGGGTTTTGCTGATATTTTCTAGGAACAATCAGGTCTTTGAGTTTATTAGATTTGTATTTTAATATGTATTTAGAGATTTTTCTGTTGAAAGCTACATTCAGAGGCCTCTCCACACTAGAATCTTGCTAAAAATTTATCAGCTAGGAAACTTCTAAAACTGGCACAGCTCAAGGAGATTAGTTTTCTTACTGATGCTTCATAAGCAGTCATTATATGTTCTCTTTAAGATGTTTTCAAGATAAAAGACAGGTTCTGGAATCCAGTTTATTATGTAGAACCATTTTGAGCAATCAGTTTGGATCAGAAAAGCTAGAGATCAGGGTTGAATTGTGCAGTTTTAAGTAGCCGATATGGCCGGCTACACTGGTTTGAACTGATCAAAATGTTCATGTTTCCTAGCTGCTCTGAAGAGAGGTCCTGGTTTGGAACCCAGCATACCTGCCAAAACAAGAAAAGAATCCAATCCGACCAGAGGAACCTTTACTCTGATTGCATCTTTCCTAGTTCAATGGCTGGTCCAGTTTCTATAGCAGTACCAAAATTTTCTGAGGTGAATTAGGAAAACTGGAAAACTAATCTTCATTGTTTCCCATGATTTAGGCACACAGTATTGTAGTTAGAGCTTCCTACTTGTGTGTTCGTGTTTGTGTGTAAGAGAGAGAGAGAGAGAGAGAGAGAGATGATTTATTTCCTCATCTGCTTCTTGTTGATGCAAGAGAGGATTTATTTACTCATCTGCTTCTTGTTGATGCAACATTGGGTATCTCGAAAGGAAGATGAAGCCCATGAAAACCTTCTGAATACAAACTCTCAAAATTAACAGAAATCAGGGTTGCAAGCACGCTTGCTGCCATATCCTTCCACCAATTCATTCCCAACCAATCTCTACCACATGTTACCAAAGAGACATCCCTTTTCAATTCCATGCACATCATTCGCCAACATCATCAGTGTTTCAATCCTGTGTTCTCATAAGGGGTCATATTCCCTGGCATCACTCTTGATCCTTGAGGGGACATGGGTGCCTCACCACTCCCACTGCTGCCAACCGTTGGTCTTGAGCTTGTACCATAGTCTATGCTAGATCTCCATTGTGCCATTCCTGGGAAGCTCATTACCTCCTGCATGGAGGCATCAACTTACATGTTATAAGGCATCTGTCATCAAAGCATGCACTTAAGTGCATGTGACCATTAGTATGCATGTGGTTAATAGGCATATGCATTGCATATCTGATTCCCATGTCCGTTTAGATTTTGGCAAAAAGCAATTTATTTGCAAGATAAGTTTTTTAGTATGGTTCAGTAACCTTTACAATAAATTTAAACACTAAAGAAATGAAGTTTTTTATTTACATTAGGCTTTGAAATATTTGTCCAGTAACTACTGTATAAAGAAATTAAGACCCTTAAAACTGGCCTAATCATCAAAGTCCATCTTAAGTATTGGACTAGGCTTAGTATCTGAATTAATTTGATGGTAATAATAACTGCTAACCATATATTGTCAGTCTATTGCGAAGTGTGGTTACCAAAAGAGATGCCAGGATTAAAAGTAGAACCGCATTAGAATTTCCTGTCCATTACTTGGAAAATAAAAAACTGATGAGATATAATATTGAAAGAGATGGTCAACTGTGTGTGGAACTCGATGAAAGTGGTGGTCAAAGATTGACAATTTTGTTGTTTTCACGTTTAAGAGATCGACCACAAATATGAAAGAAATTCCAAGTGTCAAACAATGGTTGCAACTGTCACCAATATTTTGTCAAAATTTTGTAAATGTCAAAACTCATCATCCTGAAATCTCTAAAACGTGGTGAAGTTTGCATTCTTTTAGTATTTAACTTGTCACATCTCTGCGACAAACTTGGAAAAACTCATATGACCATGGTTCAGAGATCACCAACCTGACTCCTTGGGGAGTATGCATTGGCGGCATATGCGTTCCCAAGATTTCTCAACCGGTTAAGCTCTGGCAAAATCACGGTCCCAAGATCTGGCCTATCCTTCCTTCTCAACTCAGCACAACGCAATGCAAGCTTCGCAAAGCTCAATGCCTCCTCAACAGGCCAGTCGGGCACTGTCTGGTCAAGCATCTCAGAAAATGTTCCCCTATCAATGGCCCTCTCAACATGGTGTGTAAGCCCCATAGGTGGCTTTGCTGTGATAACCTGAAGCAACATCACCCCCAATGAATATATATCCGACTTTATTCCAAGCATCCCAGTTTGTTGGTATTCCGGGTCAATATAGCAAAAGGTCCCAGCTGTTGAGGTCATTCGATACTGGGTTACACTGTCAGCGACGGAGGGTGGGACAAGGCGAGCTAAGCCGACATCGCTTATTTTGCTGTTGTAGTTGCGATCGAGAAGAATATTTGCGGGTTTGAGGTCCCTGTGGACAAGGGGCTCAGGTTTGGTTTGGTGGAGGAAGAGGAGGCCAGTTGCTACCTCAGCTGCTATTTTGAAGCGTAGGGGCCATGGAAGGCTTGGGCTGTTGCCACGGCGGAAGAGGCGGTCGTCGAGGCTGCCATTGGCCATATACTCGTACACAAGGCACCCGTACTCAGGGCACGCCCCTAGGAGGAGCACCATGTTTGGGTGCCTTATGCAGCTTAATACCTCCACCTACATGAAGGTTCTTGTGCCTTAGAACACTGGCATGAAGATATCACTATGAATGAATTTTTCTTTTTTTTCCTCTGAAAGACATCACAACAGAGGATTGGTTGACCAGAACCAGTTTTACCTGATCTTTGACAAGTCTATCGATAACACCATCCAATTGGTGGATGGATGGTGTTGGAGACAAAGTGGGACCTACCACTTTGCTCATGTTTTGGTGGGTCGCCACTCTATTCATTGCCGTCCATTCATTGATAAGGTGGAACTCAGTCATATGATCTTATCTGATTGTTTCTCATCATAAAAGTATGAAAAAATGATCCAGTAGAACCAGGATCCACCTGAAGTAATGTAAATCTAGCCAACACCGTCAAATTGATGGATGGAAGGCATTGGAGCTAAAGTGAGGCCACCAGAACATCACATGGCCCAATTGGTAGGTCCCATAACTCTCTCAACACCATACGTCCATCACTTTGACAATGTTAGGCTGGGATCTACAACATACCTGATTATCCTCTTTGAAAAATCATAGAAATAGGAGAACTTATCAGCTAGATCCAGGTTCGTGGTAGATCCCAGCCCATAGCACCATCCAATCGGTAGATGCAAGGCGCTGGATTAAGAATAGCCCAACAGTGCTTGCATGACTAACTGGTAGGTCCCTCTCTCTCTAACACCGTCCATCCACCAATTGGATGGTGTTGTTGTCCTGGAATCTATAACGTAACAAGTAGAACCTTCCTCATCAATCCTCTAAAAATGCAAGTTTTCTTTTTGGGTGGAGGCAAGGATTGGAATTTATGACTTTAGTGATCTAGCCCCTTCCGTATATAATAGATAAGGCATGAAATTTCACAGTTTCTTTTTCGAAAGTTAAATTTCACAATGCCAATGTAATTTTCCATGAGATTCTTGTTTAAGTTCATGGAAAATAATGGTTAAGGTCTTACCATAACTCAATATAGTAATGTTACATGCCTATATGGCATTCCAAGGGGATATCCACTGTTGATTCCTAGTGACTGATCATGGAGATTTTTTTTTTTTGGTAAGTGTGATCATGGAGATTTACTATCGTAGGCGACACTAGAACATTCACCCATGTGCAGTTAATGTCCATCGTTCTTCATCAGGATCAAACATTGGTTGTCCCTTTCTGGAATACTGTATGCCATACTCCATTGGATTATTATATATTTTCCCCTTTGTTTATTACCTCTTGCTGGAACTGCATCCTTCCTTGAGCTGCATCAGGGCGAAGAACCTTGATGGCCACTGGTGTATGGTCCAGAGTCGATTTATACACTGGTCCATACCCACCCTCACCAATCTTGAGGGATTCTGAGAAGTATTCAGTGGCCAGCTCGATCTCCTCAATTGTATACTTGCGATATCGGACGTCAGAATGTGCTAGAGCATCCAAAGCCTTTTTCTTCTCTTCTGCCTCTCTCTTGGCCTTCATCTCAGCAGACATTCTCTTTTGAGCTTCCTTTTCGGCGAGCCTTTGAGCCGCGCCAGCTGCCTCCAAGGCTGCCCTGCACTTGGCCTTCTCCATCTCTGCAATGGCCAATGCAGTTTCCTCTGCGTGTCGAGCGTCTTCGAATTTTCTTGCTTCTTCCAACTTCCATTGATTAAGCTCCCTTGCCTATTAGGTCCAAAAAGAATGATCGTTTCACTGGCTCAATTGAGGAATCTCTCTCTCTCTCTCTCTGACACGGACAGACACAGAGACAAACAAACCTTCTGTTTTGCTGTGATTGCTTCCTTGCAAGCTGAACTATACATGTCCATGGTTTGCTTCAGTTCCAGTTTTAGCCTCCTGACTTCCGCTTCCACATCTTTCTGCCAAGATTGAAACCAAAATCAGAGAGTTTTGGATACCTATTACCATTGCGCTTTGATTACGACTATGTTGCATCGAGTTCATGAAAAATGAAACAAACATGGCAAGTAAGAAAAAGAGAGAACAAAGCTTAAAATTACACAAACAAAAAGAGTGCATGCATTCATAAATAGAAATTATATTGTTAATCTGATGGACCTCATCAGAGCAGAGCATGACTTGGTGGATCACTCAAAATTGGGCAGAAGGATTGATGGTAACTGAGAGAGAGAGAGAGAGAGAGAGAGAGAGAGAGAGATACTGGGTTTTGTGCTGAGAAGGAGCTTCTTGGACTATCAATGGAGGTGGCAGAGAACTCGAGCTGGTCGGAGGTGAAGTCGATCGATTGATGATAACCCCCCATTCCCATTCCCATACCCATTCCCATGCCCATGCCCATGCCCATGCCCATGCCCATGCCCATGCTGCTTTGAGGGGAATCGAAAGATTGCCTGGCCATTCCCAAGAGTTTGTCAGAGCAATTGGAAGACCTTGGTGTCTCAAGTTGGTCAGGGGGCAAAAGGAAGGGGGGTGCGCTCTTTGTGGAGGCGAGGGGCCTGTTGAGGGTGGCTCTGTTCTCGTTTGTCCTCTCAAATGAGCCTCGAGGGCCTGGGGACGGGGGTGCTCTCCATCCCCTTCCAAAAGGTGTCCTGTTTACAAATGGATACTTGGTGAGAGAGAGAGAGAGAGAGAGAGAGAGAGAGAGAGATGAGCTGTGAGACTCACCTGATGGCATCGTCAGTCTCGATGACGACTGGTTCAGGCTTAGGAGCAGGAGGGGTGGGTACCGCTGCGGATTGGGATTGGGGGGCTTGCTTGCTGCTGCCAGGTGCAGGCCTCGAAGCAGATCGGAGGGATTGCACCTTCCCTTTGCATATCACATATACTGTGCAGAACTCAGGTGCTCCCTTTGTGAGGCAGCTCGGAACATCTGGTGGCTTGAATTTCCTGTGTCATTGCACCATGCACAATGAGAGAGAGAATGATTAGACCAACATGAACAGAGAGAGATATGATCACATGCACAATGAGAGAAGGAATGCTTGCACCAAGATGAACAGAGAGAGACATGATCACATGCACAATGAGAGAGAGGAATGCTTGCACCAACATGAAGAGAGAGAGACATGATCATTGTTAAAAAAAACAGACTTCCCAA